GATGGGTACAAATCTAGAGTCTTTGCCAACCATGCAACTGCTTCTGAACCAAACATAGTCTTAACACTAGAAACCTGTTCTGCATAAATTGGCTGGCTTGCCTGATGGGCAGGTACAGCAACCTATTTCACTTGCTATGCTTGCTCTTGAAATTGTGTTACTGCATCTGGGAAAATTCTCATACTGCTGCTGTCCTCTCTCTTCATCTTGCTGTCTTCTGTAAAGTATTAACTTCTGCGTGGCTTAGATTGATGTGAAGTTTTAAAAGTCATTCTTGATTAAGTGTAAGGTATTCCTACATCTTCTGTGGAAACTAACTGCTGTTCCTGTTAGGTATCTGTTGTTATTCATCAGTTGCTGAAAGACTGTTCATAACTAATTAGGCACAAGAGAGCCTTTTTTAGCTGCCTTCCCTGCTCTTTTTATTTCTGGAAACAGGTATAATAAGGGTTGGGAAAAGATTTGCACTGAAAGCTTTTACTAAACATCTGTGTGCTTTTAAGATAGCCTCAGCCAAACCCCAGTTTGGGCAGGGTCACTTGGTTTTATCAGAAAGAGGTGGTATTAACTGGAGTTAATTAAAAATAACAGTGATCTCACTTGTTTTTTAAGTGGTGTAGCCCAAGCACCTCAGTATTGCAAAGGCCCAAGTCTCTATGGCTGGGTGGTGGGGTGATCTATATTAGTATTTGCTCTTGAAGCCTCTTCTTATAGCTCTGGCACCTACATTAGCAGTGTTTCTTTTCAGAAACATGCCTGCAGGCATTAACAATGGTAAGCTTAGCAGCAAATGCCTATAATCATGAAAAACTTGGTTTAGACGCTAATGCCAGCCTTGCACTGAATTTGTCCCCTAGCAGTCATCTGCAATGTAAACTGCCTTTCTGTTTGTCCTTTACTTACAGCTTTTCAATTGGATAATGAAACTTAACAAATGAAGTTTGAGTAGAAGTTAGTGTTGGGTAAAAAAGGAAAAGAAGCAGTTATTTATGGAAAAATTTATAGCTGTTTTCACAGCTTGATTGCTGTAAGGACTGTGATGGGCTATTTGCAGTTCCCACAAGGGAATCTGACTAATCTCGCTAATGAGTAAATATGCTGCTTGCCTTGATAGTAAGTGGGAAGGGCTATAGCACTAGGAACACCACTAAGTATACATGGATAGTGTTAGCAATCCGTTTGAAGATAGGTATTCACAGCTTTTAATGTCTTACAGTAAAAGTGATAAATGAAGGCAATGCTGCTCCTGGTATGCTCAGGGGCTTTTTTAGTTCGGGTATGCTTTCAGGGGAAAGTGAGTCTGAAAACTAGCTATAATCCCCTTTACATCAATTTAAGGGGATTTGCAGAGTGCAGTATTTATCTCATCAGGTGGGCTCTGAAGACAACTTACTCCTGGTTTCAATCACTTGCTGATGGAAAATGTAGCGAGTTCTGCATCTAGAAAACAACAGAAACCAAAGGCCTCTCTGATAGTTCTTATTAGTAAAGTTGCAACATGCAAATATACTGTGCTAAGGATAGAATTAAGGCTGCAGGAGAGCTTTAGCTCTAGGTGTACCATGACCTAAAGCTAGAGAAATTGTGCATGGCCTAGCAATACCACCAGCTTTCAGTGTCAGAACACTGCAGGTGTTTGAAACAAAACTATCCAAAGCTAACTAGCTAACAGTGCTACCATCCCAGTTACTATAATGTATTATAGACTACTTGTTTGTGCAATTGTAAATCTGTACATACGCTCAATACCTGACTTCATATAGTCAATGAATGAATATAGAGTGCTGGCTCCAGGCTCGAGTGGGAAGAATGCCTGCAAGAAGGAATGACTTGTACACACTATCTCATTGAGAAGTGGAGTTGAAGTGCTTTGCAAAAGTAACCTTCAATTTTATCTAGTTGTCCTTTTCCTGGAAGGTAAACATCCATTGAATAACCTTTTCAAAGATATGTAGACCTTCTTTCCTCCTACATCTCTTAGCATGGACTATGGTACAAAGATGTAAGGACCTTTCCATATGGAAGTTAGAAAGGGCTTCTTGATGCAGTCTGGTTATCTTCTCACTTGCTTCTGTGCCTACAGGAAGGGAATTTACTGGGAGCTACATCCACAGGAAGTTGTTTTTTTTCTGTCCTAGAGGTCAAACTGAAGCAGATCCTTTGAATTCTTAAGCAAAAAAGCATTCAGATTATTTTAATGTACAAACATATAGATTTGGCCAAGACAGATCTGTAAGAGGAATCTAAGTTGCTGTGTTGCACTCAAACTTGGACTGGAAACTTTAGTAAGAGTAAATAAAATCTCATGCATCCTGGAGATCCTAGTTCTCAATCTCAAACACTTTCTACCTTAACATATCAGTAGGAGAGCTTAACCCAGCTAGAAGTAACTTCCTGGTATAAAGAGAGTGAGAATTCATAGCTAACATCCTGCCTCAAAGACAGGTCTTGGAACTTCTGTTCTGTTTATTTCTACCACTGTCAACATATCAGTTGCCTTAAAGAGCTCTTCTAGTTGGTGATACAAATACAAATGACTCATTAGACCGGAAGCATGAGTCTGGCAATATCCTTCAATTGTGTATGAAGTTAGGAGCAAGAGTTCTACAAGGAAAGATGATCTGTCAGTTGTTAAATCTGTCCTTTTGTAAAGGATTCATGTGAAACTATTCTTGAAGGAGCTGCCATCACTGAATTGAGTTGCTAGAGCAGAGGATGAAGAAACAAAGCTATCATACCCAGAGCAATAAGCATGTTCTTCCTGGCCAGCTCTGCACCTCGAAACTCTCTACTTAAGCTCCTGACTGGCATCTGCTATGGAACTTCCTATATGCTAGAAGCATCGGCTGTGTGGGAGTTGCTGATGACTGAAGTCACCTGCTCATTGAGTGCATGTTGCACTGCAAGGTTCTTCCCTGTGCCTGCTAAGAAATAAGACTGATGGAGACATGGGTCTGGTCTTCATACAGTTTAACATCAGGATTTCAGAAAGGTGGAAGGAGGGCTTAAGTTGCCTCACAACTTCAAGCAAGCAGTAGCAGACTTACTAAGCAGTAATTATGGTGTTAAGCACAAGTGTCCAAGAAGAGTAAATGGAAACACTTCTTTATACAAGGACAGCAGTTAAGTGCCTGCGTCTCATAACTCCCCTGCACTGCTCCTATGCATGCTTTGTTCAGAAAAAGCACTTTCCCACCCAGTGGACTTCCTGGTCCAGCTGTGCTCCTTAGGATTCAAAAAGAAATGGGAGTGGCAAGAGCCCAGTGTATAATATAAGAAGAGAAAGCCTTGTCTCAAGACAGAAATCTGCACCTTAAAAAAGCCCCATATCTCCCTCAAATAGTAACTTGCAGACCTGCTTGTATTTTCCAGGTCAAACTGAGACCACTGTAATCTGTGGCTATTAGAAAGGGGAGGGAGAAATATATTTTCCTGCAGTCCAGACAGATGTAGGTCCTTGGTTACCCACACCTAGCAAAAAAGTTCTTGCTTTCAAACTTGCTTCTCAAGACTGCTTGCAAAAGCCTGTGTTGATGTAGCTATTATGCTGAGGTCTCAACTCTGCTTGCCAAAAGATCTTGCTGATACAGAAGACAGTGTATGCAAAGTTTCATATTTTATATAGCTGATGCTGTCTACTCACTTGAAGTCTGGCAGTGGGGTAGCTTCTGCAATGCTCGTTTCCAGTATTAAAAACTATTTGCTAGGTTACAGTAACTGTTTAATGTAAGGTTAAGTGCTGCAACAAACTGCTGTAGAGAAATAGTGCTAGTAGGTTGTCACTGCTGCTGGCAATTAGGCAAGCTGCAAAAGAGGGCTTAATGTGGATGTGGAGTGCCTGTAGCAGAAGCAAGTTAAACCATCTTTTATGCTGATGGTATTTATGCTAGATCAAACACTACTGCAGTTCAGACATGTCCTGAGGAAAATGAATTGCATGAAAATCATTCTTAATCACCCTCAGCTGATCACCCTGTTTTGAATAAGCGTTGCAGATCCAAGAAGATGATGGCAAATCATGTACCTTTCTGGCTACAGTAGGCACATAGCTGTGAGGGTGTGTGGGGTGGTTAGTTTTGTTTATCTTACATGGGTAAAATTCGGTCTGTAGGACTTGGTTGCCTGTATCAGGTACGCTACAGGTTATTGGTTGCTCTAGCTGACATGACTAGAAATGGAGTCAGTGTGTGCAAGTTATGTGCCACTAGACCCTAATGATACTCATGCTCAGCTTTTCTTTAGTGGATGTGTCCTTGAAATATCTATGTGCATTGGTCTGTCACTCCACAAGATGTAAGGGAATAAACTTAATCTCTAGCTTGAGTTTTGTTGGTAAAGATACTGCACTGCAATTGCCTTTGACTCTTTCATGTTAAAATGCTGGTGAGATTTTTAGTGCAATGGGTAACACTTGCAATAACCTAACAGTTCTAACTAGTCAGTTAAGACTGACTTCTTTTTGGGCTTTGTATGAAGATGCTGGTGTTGTAGCTGAGAGACTAGAACAACGATGGTGAGGAAGAGCCTTCCTGGAAAGGTATGTGACCCTTGACAGACTAGCATTTTCAGCAGATAGAAGACACTCCGGTTATTCTATTGCCAGTCAGTGACTATGCATCAAGTGAAACGCAGACACTGTACAGCACTTGGAGGTGACCTTAGAACTATTAGGGACTACATCTGCAGTACCTGAAATTGTACTGTAGAGCCCTACTGATTCCTGAAGGAGTACAGAGGTAAGATATGTTCCTGGTTAGGACTGGCTCTGGTCTGAAGTCTTCCATGAGGAAAGAGAAGGTAATGAATGACTTTTTTCTTATGTCCCAGTTGAAGAATGTAAAGCTACTGACTCTTTAAACAGTAGCTCTGAGATTTAAGGCAAGGTTCATGTGTCTCCTTAGTGTTGTGAATTTGGAAGTGGCAGAAGACATTCCCCATGCTTTTTTTTTTTTCTGCCAAAACTGCAGCAGACTAAGGAAGCTATGGAGTTCCTCCTTGTTTTCCTGCCTGCTGCCTCTCTTCCAGTTTCTGCTGCAGTCTTGATACTGTCCCTTGCTCTTGTGGTCTAAAAGCCCACAAGTTGCTCCAAGTTACAGCAACAGAAGCTTAAAATAATGATCTTCCCTTTGTGTTTTTTTTATTCCCCAATAAATCTAGCTCTACTGGCTTATTAACAAAAAAATGCATATAAAGCAACATCTGTTTTTATCAGCTCAATGAACAACCAGTTAATTACCATGTAGTCAACCCTTCTAAACAGAGCAGTATTACAGACAGACTTACTGCAGCTACCTTTGCAATTAGCTTACCAAACCTGGAACTGTTAGTATATGGATGCTTGTAAATTAAATTTTTAAAAGGCTCAGACTTCAGACTCTCTAATGTACTGTTTCTGTAGGATTCCTTTAGGAAAACTAAAGGTAGTTGAATTGTGACCTTGTCATGGATTTGAGAGCTCACCCATGATTGAGTATTTGTATTAAATAGTCTTCAATGTCACTATACTAAACTGTGTAACTTCCATGCAGTCTGTTTTGTGTGTCTTGTGTCATCTTCTGTCTCCCAGTAAAAATCGTTACCTCTTAGGCAGGCTTGACAAGCACATCAAAGGCTGAAATAAGTTTAGTTTTTATTTGTTTTAGTTTGATGTAGAAACCTGCATCTTCAAAGTGAGTTTGAAAAAAATAGCTTAAAATGACTAAGAAGTGTAGGAGAGTGAGAAGCTCAAAGCACCAACAGCAAGAGGGTCATGTGCCATTGTGAAGGATACCAACCATGAATATAATGTTGCTGAATATGGTAAAAATGCACAGCTTCATGAAGTGCCTATTTTTTCCACTGCAGGAGTTTGAAGATGCAGCAGGCCTGGTAGTGGGGACAGAAGGAATCTCCTTAAAGAAGTTGTGCCGTCCGAAATATTTGCCATGTCTATTACGGATCATAGCCCCACCACTGGAGTGGTGACTGTTATTGTTATTTTGATTGCTATTGCAGCTCTTGGTGCCTTGATACTGGGCTGCTGGTGTTACCTGCGTCTGCAGAGGATCAGCCAGTCTGAAGATGAGGAAAGCATTGTGGGAGAAGGAGAAACCAAAGAGCCCTTCCTTCTGGTGCAGTACTCTGCTAAAGGACCTTGTGTAGAGAGGAAAACTAAGCTAACTCCAAATGGCACAGAAGTACATAGCTAACTTGGAGCAACATGTGTATGAACTACGCTTATGATGTGTGTAACTGGCAGAAGAATCTCTCCTGTGAAGAACCTGGTCACATGCATGCTACTCATCACAAAACACCCTGATGAGGATTACATCAGCTTTGTTAGCAACTGCATGCACTGAGAAGTTGCACTTTGCATCAACTGTGTATCCCGATTCCTCTGTGACAGGAGCTGACCCACCTGGCATAATGTCCATTGCTGGCAATGGACACAGGGATATATTGGTGTAAAGAGACTACTAATGTTTTGTTACTTTGTTACTTGAATGTTTAGCTGAGCCTATTTTGACGAAGCTACTACTGTAATGTGAACTACTTTACAACTGTGAACTGTAAGTAAGCTGCCAGAAGCTTTTTGCTTTGTGTTCCACAGCATATGGAAATATGTGATGCAACTGTACATAACAGGAGGACTGCTGAACCACAACTGTAGCTGGGATTCCAGACCTTCAAAACCAAATCTGCAGTTAAAGCTTGCTTCTGCTATTAATTTGAGTGCACAGCTATAAAGTCAGAACTCCTCTTAACAGTTTAGTGAACTGATGCAGAGTACCTTTTTTGAGAATAGGTATAATCCTTCAGTAACATGTTGAGGCGGGAAACACAGGAGCTATGAGAATGACTTTGTTTAGTTGCAGCTAGGTAGGTTAAGCTTTTGGCTGCTAGAACTGAGTCTTCTAACCATCTAGCTACTGCAAGGAAACTGCCATTTTGATGGACACCAGCCTAGGAACTGATGATGGATACTGAACCCTTGGGGCCGGTCCAGAAGGTTTCCAGGAGTTTGAAATGGCAGTAGAGCAGGCTTTTCTCTTCTGTAGGTCTGCATGCTGAAACTGCAGAAGTGGTTACTTAAGTGCAACTAGTATGAAATTTTCCTAGAACTCCTGTTTGTGTACTTAGCAGTTACAATATATGTTAACAGCCTGTTGTAAAAAGGCATTTTAGTCTACAAACAGTTAACTATATAATCCAGTTAACATATCTTGTAGGTATCTTGTAGTAGTACATTTAAATCAAGAGAGTTAAGTTTCAGGCTTTCCTATAAAAACAAATGCTGGTATGGGCAAGGGAGATTGGCTGTTCAGTTTGTAGAGTTATTAGTTGGCAATGGCAAAGTCTTTACAAACAAGAACACCCCTTCCAGATCCTGCTTTGTGCTATAGTTAAGCTATAGGAACTCTAACAAGATGTCTTAAAGAGATTGTCCTGGACCTCAAAGTGTTAGCAGGAGGAGAGGGGAAAGGGGAGGAGAAAGAACAACACTGAGCCACCACTGGCAGCTTACGTATTCTAGAACTCTTAGGGTAGGCACACTTGCTTTGAGGCCACTGACCTGTTTTCTGTGACTTTATACATAGCTTCCTTTGCCTACTGAAACTTTTAAACACTTAATTGCTTAGTAAAGAAAAATCCTGTAACTCTGTTCCCTGAGATGTTACAAATAATGAAGTTCAAGTTCTTCAGCTATATAGACATTGTTAGACTGGCTTCTTGTACCTGTACCTATGGAGTAACACAAGCCTGCAAGCTTGCTTGAGAACTCTGTATTGCAAGACAGTAGCACCCTAGCCAAAAAGTCTTGTCCCTTTCTTCTGCAGTAAGATGTTGACTTAAAAAGGCAAATGTAGCAGTAAAAATTAACTGAAGGGTATAATTTGAAGCAAAGTTAATGCTGTCAAGTAAAAGAAAGCTCCTGCTGTTGCCTTCTGAGTGATATGGGGTACAGCTTTTTACCTTGCCACATGCTCTTCTGGAAGATACTAGTCTCATGAGACTTGCATGTATAGCCAGACTGAAATGCTTAAACTGTCAGATTCTAGACCTCTTACTGAATTAATCCTTTTCTTCTTGATTTGTAAGACTCCTTAGTTTTCAGTAGAGAACAGTTTACACACGGCTGTTACAGGTTTCAAGACAGTCAAATAACTGGTATACAAAAGTGGTACAAAGTGCTGAAGTTCTAGAACAGTTGTAGCAAGATTACTTTTTGTCCATTCAAGTTCACTGATTACATGGATGAAGTATCTCAACTTTAATTCAGTAAAGGAAATGCAGTGTAAAGGGCAAGCTTCAGAAATCATGGAAAAGTAAAAATCAAAGGACTAATCTCTCTTCTAGCAACTGTAAGAGAAAGCCAGTGAAAAATAACTGGTTCCGAGTCAGAAGTGCTTCACACTGCTGCCCTAAAAATCACAATCTTCAATTTAAATGGCAAAATTTGTAAGTTAGTGCAATAGTAAAGTGCAGAAAGTGTTTTCCATTCTCCTCTTCTCTTTAGATGTGGGTATCTATTAAGTTGTTCAAGTATACAAAAATATTCCATTTGATTTCTTTTTCTAGATCATGTGGGGGAAGAAGTCTTTATTTACAATGAATTTCAATAAAATTTGCATAAATACCTACCCAATACTGCATCATTTGACTTTGTGTAAGTAATCATTCTGTCCTGTTTCCACTACTGTGTTCTGTTTCTGTGGTATCAATATTATCAATCCTTTTTTCCTCTAATGTGTCAGTAGCTGTTGAAACTTCAGAGTTACCTTCAGAAAGTGTCTGCTCTGACTGAAGGGGTTCTTTAATTTTGTCTTGGATCTGTAGCTTTCCTTCCCTTGATGCTACCAGGATTCTCAGTAAAGTATTCTCTTTAAGGAGGTTTTCTGATGCATCAGCTAATTCTTGAAGCTTTTCAGCCATTGCTAGTAATTCCTGATTCTTCTGGTTATATGTGGCCTGCAACTGCTCACTGTGGAGCTGCAGAGTCTTGTGCTGTTTTTCCAGTGTGTGTTTTTGCTGCTGTAGTCTATGTTCCTCTCTCCTAGCTTCAGACAGCTGTGCTTCAAGCTGGTCATGGGCCTGATGAAGGGCAGTGATTTCTGATCTTAACTTCTCAATTTCTTTCTCTAAGTGGGAGATATGTCCTTGCTGTAGAACTGTTTCTTTATGTAGGCATTCTTTGGTACAGGGCTCTGACGAAGAAGAACTTGAGTGATGTAAAATAAATTTAAGAAGATTAGGAAGGTTAACTGAAAAGTCTTCAGGGAACTTCACACTTTGTTCCTTCCTAGAAAGACACAACATGAAAACATTCAGATAGGCAAGCAATGATAATATTATCTAAGCATCTTCTGTTGTTTTTTTTTTTTCCATCAAGAATGGCCAATATAGAAGCTATGAGAAACCTGAACTCATGTAATAAAGATAAAGCACACTGTACTTTCTTTCCATTAACCCTTTTACCTGTACTCCAGCCTGGGTGCTGTAAGCTTTGAGCCTATTATATGTCCTATATATGCTATCCTGGAAGAAGTAGTTTACTGTGTTCCAAGAGCAGAAGGATATTGCAAGGAGCAGAAAAATACTGTTTGCTTTTAAAGAGTAAGCAGTCACTTTAGTAAGCAGCAAGGTCCTCTTGCTGTCAAAAACCCAAATCTTTTTACTTGTTCCTCCTGTCTTTATGCCTCTGATGTGATGAAAGAAACATGCCATATAAGTGTGGGTTGAGTTTTGTTGTTTTTTTTTTTTTCCTTTCTGAAGCTCATTATATGGCTGTGAATATGAAGAGGCAGGCCTATTGTTTCTACAACAGCACAAACTGTTACTCTTAACCTGACAAGCTGCTTCAAGACCAGCAAGTACCAAATTTCTTCCTTAAGACTACTAACCACCAAAAGACACCCACAACCTCCAGCCGTGTCAAATGTTGAAGTTACTACCCCTTTTTTGGACCATGTGTCTACTTCCATCACAAAACCTAGGAGGCTAAACTGTCCTCTGAGGATTAGATGGGAGGTTAACTCCTAACCTTCTTTTTCTGTAACAGTTACATCTTCAACCTTTCACTCAGCATGTTCCAGTTTAACCTAAATGCTGCCTGCTGGCTCTTGGGGTACAGAGTGCCTTATTTTACCTGGGAAGCTAGCTAACAATTTATCATTTTGTATGGTCTTTAGTCTTCACAAAAGTTTATTCTCTTTCATTAGGAAGCCATCAAAACAAAGAAAAGCTTGGTTTACTTTCCTTTGATGGCCAGATTCATACCCAGATGAACTGTATATAGCATGCATCCAGACATGGGTAAATTACACAAATAGAGAAAGGATAAATATAAACAAAAACTACTGCAAAGCAAGAAAGCCAGATTTAAGTATAATGCCTAAAGCCTCAAAGCCTACCTACCCCTGCTGCTCATGTACAACACACACCATGGACAACACTTACAGAATCATAGAATACTTAGGGGTGGAAAGGACCTTAAGATCATACAGTTCCACCCCCCCTGCCATGGGCAGGGACACCTCACACTAAACAATGTCACCCAAGGCTTCACCAACCTGGCCTTGAACACTGCCAGGGATGGAGCATTCACAACCTCCCTGGGCAACCCATTCCAATGCCTCACCACCTTAAAGAATTTCCTCCTTATATCCAATCTAAACTTCCCCTGTTAAGTTTCAACCCATTACCCCTTGTCCTGTCAGTGCGGTTTCTAATGAAGAGTCCCTCCCCAGCATCCCTATAGGCCCCCTTCAGATACTGGAAGGCTGCTATGAGGTCTCCACGCAGCCTTCTCTTCTCCAAGCTGAACAGCCCCAACTTTCTCAGCCTGTCTTCATATGGGAGGTGCTCCAGTCCCTTGATCATCCTCGTGGCCTCCTCTGGACTTGTTCCAGCAGTTCCATGTCCTTTTTATGTTGAGGACACCAGAACTGCACACAATACTCCAGGTGAGGTCTCATGAGAGCAGAGTAGAGGGGCAGGATCACCTCCTTCGACCTGCTGGTCACGCTTCTTTTGATGCAGCCCAGGATACAGTTGGCTGTCTGGGCTGTGAGCACACACTGAAGCTGGCTCATGTTCATTTTCTCATCAACCAACACCCCCAAGTCTTTCTCCACAGGGCTGCTCTGAATCTCTTCTCTGCCCAACCTGTAGCTGTGCCTGGGATTGCTCCGACCCAGGTGTAGGACCTTGCACTTGTCATGGTTAAACTTCATGAGGTTGGCATCAGCCCACCTCACAAGTGTGTCAAGGTCCCTCTGGATGGCATTCCTTCCCTCCAGCGTATCAACCGAACCACACAGCTTGGTGTCATCGGCAAACTTGCTGAGGGCATGCTCAATCCCCCTGTCAATGTCACTGACACTGACATGTCCCCCTGCATGTGACATTACATTTCTGAATGCTCACACTCTGCATCTGGAACATGAGTTACTCAGTTACCAATTACAGCTGCCTCAAAAATGCTTTCTGTGATATCCACTCATTAGCATATGGGATATAAACATATGCCAATGACATTTACTGAAATCTACTTAATGTGTTTCAGGTAGTGGACAGATACTGTACTTTATCAGTAATTAAAAAAACTTCAGCCAGATGAAGCTCCTGCTCATCAAAATTAAGTTATTTCTGGAAGCACAAGCAACATGATTTTTCCTCCCCTGCAAACTTCTAGTGAAGAACCGAGTTAGTCTTATAATTAGCATGAGCAGTTTCTGAGCTAACAATCAGCTCCCATCCAAGTTTAATGA